CCTCTGCCCCCACCATTCCCACCGTGAATCCAAGCACAAGATGGGCTTCATCATATTTTCTTTTCAGCTGGCTTTTTGGTTGATAAGGCTACTGCCTGTTGTTTCTTTGTCTGCTTGCACTGAATCGCCTACTTTTTTTGTGGTCCATGTAACAAGTTTATCCATTTACGTTATTATGCCTACTGCCCTTTGTGTAAACATTTCCTTATATTGTTGCGCTGCAGTTAACATGCCGACGTTAAACCGTTATTGTTGCACTATGGTTCCACTTCTGTCTCCTGGGCCCCGAACTGATGTTATTTTAATTTACTTGTATTAATGACCCATTTCTAATTTTCTCCGTTCATTGCGCCCCAGCTGTCATGTCTTTATTCCCCACTAGTGGGGCGCGCCCCACACTTTGAGAACCATGGATGTAGTGTAAAAAACGCACTTCACGGTGATGCAAAATGACACTGAGTGTTGCTGATACTGAGTACAGATACAAGTACTTACTGCAATAATGCAATGTTCCTTCTATAAAAACTACCATAAAAGTGCAGTAACTTTAGAAACTGTTTTTATTTTCATTTTACTTTATTTGGGAGACACGCAAATGACCTTTTAAACCTTTTGTGACAACAAACACAACACTGCCACTATTTCAATCAGCTGAATGAATTTCTCTACCCTGCTACATAACATACTGTAATACAATGTTTTTTTTTAACCTTTTGTAGGAGTACTTAACCTAACCTATCCCTTTGTTAGGATGACATGATTTCACAACCCCCACCTACAATGTCAAAATTTAGGAGTACTTGATGTCACAGTCAGCAATTTAAATGTTTAACTTAACGAGGGTGCAGCTCTTACTGGAAACACTGGCTACTGTCTGTGGCTTCACCCTGTCCTCTCTGCTGGACACTTCCCTGCTCTGGGAAGTTGCTCAGTTTCAGGATCCAAGGATTCATAAGAATTTGATTCGTTTTTCATACACACAGCTCACTGGACTCCACTGTTAACTACATAAAATTAGCATTTGCTTCCTTCTCATTTACCACAATTCACTGCAGTCAGCATAACAAGCACCATATGGGTTTAGTGGGTGAATGGGACTGGGCATTTTGACCACAGTGAGAGTGAAGACACCACATTTCTGTGAGTTTGCTGTTGTGGTCAGCTTGTTCAACAGATGTTTGACTAATTACTCTCTCTATTACTGTTGGATTTTGTTGCACATACTGATGGCTCAGTAAAATACAACCTCGTTTCTGCTCAGTTGTGTGTCCGTGAACGCCCCTCCCCTCCCCATCTCATAAACAGAGCAGAGTCAGCACTCGTAGTCAGTTTGCTTTTGTCATTATTTATCTGAAATTATCCTTGAACCACTGAAATTTATTCTCCATCTCTGTTAAATGGTATAGGTGGACTTTGTATTTCAAGTAAATGTCGATGTTTTCTGTTTTAAACCAAGACTGAGTAGTTATTTTCAAAGCAAATAAAAATACATTGTGAATGAATATCAAGTGTTTTGACTCACAAAATATGTTAACAACACTTCCTTATTATGTTACTGCAGGATATATATGGTTTTGCAATTTAGTTGCACATAAATTTAATATATAGGCGACAGAGCTCCATCTGGTGAGCATCAGATGGACAAACTGATGGATTTTGTTTCAACTTTAGCCTAACAGAGGCCCTTGTTTGTAGTGTTTATTCAAACCTAAGTTATCCATAAACATGTGACCGAAGTAATAATTTTAAAGTAAAATAGCTACCAAATGGTTGGCCAGTTCTTCTAAGTAGTAATGTAGCTGATGGGTACAGTACATATACACACCCAGCACTGGCAAAAGCACTGAATCATATTCTAAGAATATCAAGCCCCTTTCTAATTATAAGCACTGTAAATTGCAATGTTAACAATGTTAACACGCGGCACAAGATCAGATTTAATAAGATAGTTCTCTCCAATTATTTATTGTGTATTTTCTGGGTATTTAAGCAGACACATCATTGAGTACAAAAGTTAATCATATGCAGGCCATTCATCTCTCTTTGTATGGGAGACATCCAGTACATGTTAGCTCTGATTTCTCATAGGGCAAAATGTAAAGTGGCATTATAGAGGCTGGATAACAGGAATTAGCTCCTACTGCATGGCATGTGGTCTATTCTAATCATAGCTATTATGATAAAAACTGGTTGATGTGATTATATATAGTGCCCCAAAATAACAAGAGGCTGCTCCAGTTTTGCCACATTGGCTTTTGAGTTCAACAGAAGAGGAGGCAGAGGAATAGGAGGCTTAAATAGCTGCTACAGTGAATATACACTGTAATTTAGAGTGGGAAGAGGAGGAGGAGGGGGAGAGAGAAAGCCTTCAAAAAGACAATAAATACGATCATATAAAGAAATAAAAATAAGTAACAGAAAGACAGAAGAGAGGTACATTAAGATAAACTAATTCTAGTAGGAGTGCATGAGGACTTTTTTGTCTCATTAAGAAGATGTGAAACAGATTTCTAAGATGGAAAAATGTTCATTTGATTCTGATCTTTTTATGACAAATATTGTAACTGCACTGTAGTGACTGGTGTTCTGCAAATGTCCTAGTGATGAATAACAATCAGATGCACAGTACAATGCCTGAAGTGGAAAAAACAAAGTGCCAGTACTCCCCTTATTCACATGTTAGTGTGTCTATCAGCAAATCGTTAAGTAATACATTCAGACTTTTTACAGTGAATAAAAGACACTAGGAAATATGCTACCAGTTGCTCATCCTGTCAGAACAACCTGATTAACTAAGCTTCTCACTTGTAGTGATTTACCATAGTAAAAGACATTGTCTAGTAGCTATTCAGGTCAGATTTGTGTGATGAGCAGACATACAACCCCTATAAATTTGGTAACTCATTCTGTCAGGTAGGCAATATGTATCAAAGTGAACTAGTAGCTCTGTAAATGTGGTTAACAGTAGGGTAGCTCATTCGGTCAGGTGGGAAATAGCTATCAGAATGGGCTATTGCTATTCTCTTGAAGACTGCTCTCTTCACCTCAACAATCATGTATAGTTTAAAACTGTAAATTATGGCTGTGTTAATTTAATTTAATTTAATTTTCCCCTGGGCAGCACGGTGGCACAGTGGTTATCGCCGTTGCCTCACAGTGAGAAGGTTCTGGGTTCGGGCCCCAACTGGGACCTTTCTGTGTGGAGTTTGCATGTTCTACCCGTGCTTGCGTGGGTTCTCTCCGGGTACTCCGGCTTCCTCCCACTGACCTGCAGCTTAGGTTGATTGGTGTCTCTAAATTGCCCATAGGAGTGCGTGTGTGTGGTTGTTCGTCTATGTGTTAGCCCTGCGATGGATTGGCGACCTGTCCAGGGTGTACCCTGCCTTCGCCCGATTGTCGGCCGGGATTGGCTCCGGCCCCACCCATGACCCTGTTCAGGGACTAAGTGGTAGAAAATGAATGAAATGAATGAATGAATAATTTTCCCCTGAGATGCACTGCACATTCCCCATAATGTTGGTAGGTCATATGTCAGGACACCTGTACGCAAGAAGTCACTGTACAATGAAGAGTTAAATGTAAAAGTGCCTGTACTGCATACTGTACCACCATACAGTACCAGACATTGCATTTAAATACATGTCCTAAAGGGAAAGTGTGCAGAAAGCTTAGGTTTATGTTCCAAAGCTAATCTCGATTACAACTACATTTTATTTGAAGATGTCACTATTGCAAAATCCACCAGAGTTGTGATACTGATCCCTTCTGGCATCTGTAGTATGTGCATTGTTCCTTAAGGCCCTGTGTTCTCACTGACATCCCCATCACAGTCTTTGTGTTGCTGTATATGTCACGCTCCTGCCCCACTTGCTTCTTGTCGTGCTTTTATTTTCACATTACTTCTCCATCACAGTCTTTGTCTTGTTGTATATGTCACACTCCTGCCCCGCTTGCTTCCTGTCGTGCTTTTATTTTCACATTACTTCCTGTTCTGTTTCACCTCAGTTTTGGCCTTTTTACTTAAATCATCATTAGTTCACCTGCTCCTTATTGTTTGCACCTGTTACTTCTATTTTCCCAACAGGACGCTGCCAGATTGTTCTAGACTCCAGCTCTGACTCTCCAGCATTTATACCTTGCCTGACTCTCTGTTTCTGACCTTGGATTACTGTTTTTGACCACCGTGTTTTGCCTATGCCCTCCCAGATTCTGATCGCCTGCAGTGTACCGACCTTCTGATTTAGCCCCCCTTGACCTCGAGTTTGGATCTCCTGGCTATACCTGTTTACCGGCGCTGACCCTGGACTGTCTTATCGACCTGATTGTGATCCTGGACTGTGTGTTAGTTGTTTTGGTTGCAACAA